GTTACGCTCGTTGATCTTTCTAAACCAGATTTTGTCGAAGCTATGGGAATATTTCTGTTTAAGACGAGCGTTTTCAGCGAGAAATCAAAAGACAACAGCTGCGCTAGAATCTGCTTATAGTTCTGCATATTATTTGCTAAGTATATGTATTTGCAATCTAAGGTACAATACAAGTAGCGGAGACGGTCAGGCACCCGTCGAAAATAAAAGTGTGGGGCATTATGAGCCACGGTACATACCACAGTTCGATTTCACGAGATGCCCCGAACACGACCGTTTACACATAATACCACTGCAATAACATTCTAGCATAGTAAGGATTGGATGCCTGAACTGAATGGCCATTAGCATGTCTATTTTGGAAACCAAAGCTACTGTAAGCCCAAAAGTACCTAACCTAAGTTCTGGCATGGAGTTGCTCCACTTTAGAGATCGAAATCGTCCATCTTTAGACACAATAGTGATACAGGCAACATTTTTTTTTCTTGGTTTTGTAGGATGCGAACGGCATGGGAATAGTTTAATTTTGAGTCCAATCGAAAATATTTGTGAGATGCTCCGAAAGAGGTCAGTAACTGGCGGCCTACGGCCAGTTTCGGGAGGTGCATGAAACAACTGAATTGTGATACCTAAGTTATCCGCTGATGTTGGCTGATCTTGTGGACAGGGCGCCGATTGTATGCGCCATTACATACATACATAGGTATGTGTTCTTATAGTTAACTACGTCAGGGAAGAAAGTGCAACCAATTGGACCCATTGTCTCTTTATTTCTTTTCGGCTAGGTGTTTATCCGAGCATTCGTTAAGGAGAAGGACATTGGGATCAATTTTCTCCGGTAAATATCTGACTTTAACGAAAATATGAACTTGCCTTTATTTGCATATGGTATACCTAAATGGAAAAAATGACAATAAAGTGTTTACTTTTACACTAGGTGCAGGGAATAAAGCAAATAGTTTTTCATATTTCTTAGTTTCTAGCATATTTTGTCAGCATTTATCCTGGCACTTAGCACTAACTGCAGAATGCAGCGTTCAGCGAGTATGACGCGCAGCTCGATCTACCAACGAAAGGATAAAACGAGGGACAGAGCCTCTGTAATTATACATATTTGTTCCGCTAAATGATCATTCCTGTGTAAATCGATATTAATGGGGAAGTCGGTGTTTTTAAACTTATCAGAATAAATCACAGTTTGATACGATGGCGTTTGTTTGCTTCAGTCTTCAAGACATGGTATAACCGCATGACATTCTGAAATCGGTAAAGGAACAATAAAGTGCATTGCAGACCTCATAAATATCCTAAGCGAAAGCCTAACCGCAAAAATGCATTCTACCTCCACGTATCTAATTTCATGGCGCCGTCCGATTCGTGACAGGCAGAGCACTGGGCGTCTGTCCAGCTGTATGTGTTTACCATCGCTGAGCGGCGGCCACATCCGTGAGGAAAGTCGTGCCGCCGGCGGCCTGGGACAGACAGCTCGGACTGTAATGACGGGCGCAGCGGCGGGCGGGTCGTCTGGCCCGGCCGTCCCGCCCACCGGGTGTCCCGTGTCCGCCGCTGTCACCACGGACACCGCACGAGAACTCAGTCGAGAGTTGAGACAGGCTCCACTCCGCACGGATCGGATCTGCGTTTACGTGATGCCGTGACTCCTAAAAGACTCAATAAACGTTTGCCAAATGTGGTCCGGGCACTATAAAAACATCTTTTTTCTGGGACAGTCGAAAAGTCGGCAATTCAAAATTTGTTTATTCGCACGGTATTATCATGAAAGTTATTATCATGCAAAATCATTTCTCATTGTTTTTGTTATCTATCCATTCTTATCGTATGGACATTATTTTTCGCAGTCCCTAAAATAGTATGTAACTTTGAAATATCCATCTTAGCCGGTGCATTTATCTGATGGGCCATAAACTATCTACAATTTATCAGATGTATACCGCTCGTGACAACGGTTGGAAAAATGTCGCTCAAAAATGTGAAGACGTCTAATGAAGAGCAATTTTTATAACATTCCCTTCCTCACACATATGCATACTTCAAGCGTGTATAGGATGAAAAATGAGAAGAAAAAGAACACCAATGCCGCGCCAGGCACCAAGACCGGCATTTGACCGGTTTCGGTAAATGAAGACAGACCTCAAACGCAGCAGCTTGCAGAAACTGGGAGCAACCTGTCTAGTCGCCGCCGTAAACGTGGTACTTAGCTCTCAGCAGGGCAGCCAGGGAAGCGGTGTCACCAGAACAGCAGCTCAGGCATGTCCCGAATCACTTACGAACACGGCACCTGTCATTCGTCCGTCCCGTCTCCCGAAATTGCGCCTCGTTTGGATGGGCGACATATGCGTTACGCCGGGAAGCCGTAAATAATGAAGCAGATAAAGTCGCGGTGAGACGGGAGGGGGTGCGTGGGCGCTTCATTTGCGGCTGGTCGACCGACTCCGGTCTGCAGCGGACCTGTCGCCGCTCGGGAAAACACGCCGACGTCGGTGGGACGTGTCGCCAACTGGTTTATCCGTCCGTGTTGTTAATTGGTGGCAAATGGCTGATGCTGCCGACCGCCGCGCCGGCCGGTGGACAGGCTGTCACCGACCGCCGCGCCGGGGAGAGAGGGGTGGCTGGAGTTCAGATGGTGTGGTCAGGGTAACATAAGATGATACTGAATTCGCATAAGTATCGCCTCAGTACCGGTATGCGAAACTCGCGATGGCAGTTTACTCCATTGCGGCAAACTGTTTGGCGATTCGCACCAATTCGGCAAACTGGTGAAAGCTAAAGTAATGTGTGGACGTTTTCGCTCAATTGCACATGTCGTATACGAGCATGCAGCAATGTTTGAACATCAGGAAAACAGCCAAATAAAATATAAACGTACCAATTAATAGGGAGAGCTGTGGCATTCTAACATCCGTTTAAAACACAGATGCACACCAGTAAACGGTCGTGGCAGCAATTTAAACCATGGGTATCTGGTAGATAACTGCAGTACCGGGATAAATGTATAACACAACGCTGCGCTTCATAAGGTCACAGGGCCGTCTATTTATATAGTAGGTTGAGCCCTCCGTCGTGTCCTGCCCGTCTCCCGTCTGTGCTGCTGTCTTGGGACGAGCGACAACAATGGTGCCACGTGACTGCTCGGCGCGCTCGGCGCTGAACGCTGCTCGCGGGCTGTGAGGGCGACACGGCGCTCCTGGGTGGGCCCCGTCGCGCCGGCCGCTCCGAAACTGTCCCCACCGGAGGGAGAGGAATGGCCCGCCGCCACCGTGCAGAGTGCTGATGTATTTAAGCGGTGACGCCGAGACTGACGTCATCGACAGTGACGTGACATCACCGACGGGTGACGTGTGACGCACCAGATACCGTCAATGTGACGTGACGCCGCTGTCTGCCGTGACGCAGCGTCCCGGCTGTGGTGAGCGCAAGCAGCCAACGGCTGATGAGGCGCCGAGGTTTCTGACAATCAGCCGGTCCATTGACATTATGTATTCTTAACACAGCGGCAAGTGTCAAAAAGTGAGCAATGTCGGCCATACAAGTGGTAGGCATCTGTAACCCTTGGAGCCAAGAAACGGTGGACGACAAGGGGACGGTGGACGACGAGTGGACGGTGGACGACGAGTGGACGTTGTATGACGAGTGGACAGTGGAACTGAGAGATCGGCGGACCGGCAGGGTCAGTTGATTAGGGTCAGAGCGGTCTGACACTGACTGCTGACCATCACACCATGCTTCTCTCTGGACGCCGATCGACAGCGAGAAACCGTTCCAGAGCGGAGGAGTGCGGCGAGGGGACGTCTCTGGTGAAGATGAGGGTCACAGTGGGGGACGCTGCCAGACTTGAGGGTAGCAAGATGGTAACTATTCTAGGGCATAGGAAGGCGACATTGAATTGGAGCTTGAGGTGGTTGACATTTCCAGTAAAAACGAGATTGAAAGATATCGAGATACGAAATAGCTGAGCCTTTCTAGGTAGCAGTGGGTAAAACGCGTGTAGGTATGTGGCCGTGAAGTTTTGACGATTTTAATCGATCCTCCGTCAGCAGCGACATCCTCAGTTCTTACAATCGTTCTCTCGTCAGTCCTCAGCGATTAATGACATCCTATCCAGGGGTCATGCCCGGTAGCCGACCCTGCCAGACCCTGCTGCTGCCGCCGTATACCTACTGCATTTAACCACATCATAAACGTGTCATGTTGATTGTAGATGTGATGCAAAACAGCCGTATCATCTGAATACAATGGCGGGCGGGCGGGCCGGCTGTGGCCCTCCTCTATAATTAGTACGGTGAGCCGTGCAGGGGGCGGGGGGGGGGGTATCTCCGGGTCAGCTTCCACCGGGAGTGGCGTGACGTCACTAGCCGCTCAGCGTCTCCAGAAATTGCCCGTTTGCCTAGTAAGATATCCGTTTCAGATTCCAGGTGTTAAGGGTTCGGCGAAAAGGGCTTCTGTCGTCTGTTGCTGTCCCGTGCTTAGGTAGGTACCTACTGTATAGGTACACCCGCACGGACGGAGCCCCATAAGGGACAAGGCATTAAGTGACCGTTGCAGCTGACTTCCAAGTGACATATGTTTTTTTTTTTTTGGGGGGGGGGGTTAGGCCCTTTCGGTCGACAAGACCATTGCAGAGCCGGAAGGATGATAGGAATTAGGGGGAGACATTGGTCTGGGCAGGCACCCTAGAGAGTCGCCGGGGCTGAGCCCGTCCAAATGGACAGGCCGACCAGCCCCCTGAGCACTCTCTGCACCCGGCTACGGGGTGCAGCTCCCTCGGGAGCAGCGGTGCCGCTCCAAGGGAGCAGCCCGCATGAGATAAAGTTGCCTGTCCAGCCCGGAGGGGGCTGGGGTGTTGGGGAGCAGGATTTCAGTATCCTGAGGATAGGAGCACGGAACGGTGTGACATATGTTATCCGGATCATTGAACAACAATCATAAGTTTGAGGCTCTCGCCTATCCGGGCTGACTGTTTCTCCTCCGTTCGCCGACAGGTCAGTTCCTGGCCGATGCCGACCGGCCGCAGGAGGCTGCTGACATCTACCGGCGGGCGGCCGAACTAGCGCCGCACGAGTACGAGATGGTGTTCAACGCTGCCAACATTCTCCGCCAGGCGGCGCGCAACGAGGAGGCCGAACACTACTACCGGATCGCCGTCCGGCTCCGGCCCAATGTGAGAGTCGCCCCGCGGTCCGCCGCCCGCGGTCCTCTCCCCGACCTCCGTACCAACTGTCCAATAGTGATGTCCGCCCGGCTCCGCCCCAATACGAGGATCGCATCGTGGTCAATAACTACAGGGTGCGTCATAAGTTCTGGTACACTTTTTCTTTTAGTAATAAAAAGAGTTACAACAGGTTTACAGAGTTGAGTATTTCAGTAGAGGATCTTTATGAAGTTAAGTCAAAGCATGTGTGATATCATGAAAAAATATTAACTTGATGAGCCTTAATTAAACAAATGGTAACTGACCGCCCGACAGCTAAGTGCACACCATGCCGCCTTTCTCCCTAACAAAGAAAGTTCGCGGGGCCATCGTCTGCATGAAGATGGCGGATATCTCGGTAGCAAAGATATGTCGCACGCTTCGCTGCACGCGGAATCGTGTGTATCGGATGTGGACCCGGTACCAGGAGAGTCTCCTGGTAGTGGAGACCCAGAGTACCGGAGACCGATTCTGTTCCGGCTGCCCCCGGTCCGCCCACACGCCTCAGCTGAAAGCCGCGGTTCGCAGCCGGATTGTCCGCAACCCCGAGTGTCCCATGCGCCAAATGGCCCGGGACCTTAATGTGTCCGAGCGTTCCATGCGCAGACTCATTTCTAAGGATATCCGCGTGAAAAGCCTCCGCAAGAAGCACGTTCACTCCCTCAACGCTGCACAGCGCCACATACGGAAGGAAAGCGCTCTCAAGCTCCTCCGGACCGGGGGCGGCCGGAACGGAATCGGTCTCCGGTACTCTGGGTCTCCTGGTACCGGGTCCACGTCCGATATACAAGATTCCGCGTGCAGCGAAGCGCGCGACATATCTTTGCTACCGAGATATCCGCCATCTTCATGCAGACGATGGCCCCGCGAACTTCCTTTGTTGGGGAGAAAGGCGCCATGGTGTGCACTTAGCTGTCGGACGTTCAGTTACCATTTGTTTCATTAAGGCTCAGCTAGTAAATATTTTTTTTTTCATGATATTACACGTGTTTTGACTTAACTTCATAGAGATCCTCTACTGAAATACTCAACTCTGTAAACCTGTTGTAACTCTTTTTATTAATAAAAGAAAAAGTGTACCAGAACTTATGACGCACCCTGTAAATCCTTGATCTCCGGTAACCTGACGAGTGCTGAGATCCGTCCGGCTCCAGATCAATGTTAGGCTCGTCCCGCGGTCCGCCGCCTGCTCCCAGACTTCCAACAAACTGTCCTGGCGCGGGCCGACGTCCGGCCGGGCTGCCGCGTACCCAGCCCCATCTAGAACTATCAGCCCGGATTATAGTCCGCGTGTGCCGAGCTCGTGTTTTGTCACGCGAGTCCTGTCAGAGTGTCTAAATGCCCCTCATGTTTACGGGCTTCGTACGTCCGATGTCCCGTTCGTGACCAGCTCAATGTGTTTAACATTACCCTGACCGTCTAAATTTGGCTGCCGATTTGTTCAGTCAGCTCGTTCTGGTCGGTAACGGAAGGTCGCCGTCCCCCATAAGTCAGTGGTGAGGCCTCGATGGTTCATATAATGACCGAGGGTGTCGCCGTGTCTCTCCACAGGAGGCCACCAGTCATATGAACCTGGGCGCGATGCTGCACGTGAACGGGAAGCTGGAGGAGGCCGAACAGTCGTACCTGGCCGCGCTGCGCATCCGACCCGACGAACAGGTAACTATGGTTCAACGGCCGCCCACCCCTCCCCAGGGCGGGAAACGGTGGATACATGTTCATTGCTCAGCCATTCTTCCTGCAGTGGGCACAATACGAGCTCAATGCCCCCTCCCCTCAACTCGGTAGTCCTCGCCCCCTCTCGGGGCATTGCGACTCACCCCATCCCCCGACCGTAACCGGGAAGAAGAAATGGCTCAGTCTCCAGAGGGTGACTGCACCGAGTATCTGGCTTAGGATGACTCAGGGCCTGAATTAGATCTAGTAATTGATGAGCGTCGTGCAGTATTGATGTTTGGCTGCTGCTCGAAGGCAGGCTGCGTCAGGTGAAACGTCTTCCTTGCTAACATCGCCCCTCAGGTCCGCCGACTCAGTGACTGTCCTCAGTCCTGCCTTCCGTCCCTGGCACCGAACCCAGCCGACCCCCCGTTCCGTCCGCGGCACTGGGCCCGGCTGACCGCGCCCAGTACCGTCCGCTGCACACGTAGCGACTGTCCTGTCACCCGTCCCGATACTGCGCCCAGCTGACCCCCCGTTCTGTCCGCGGCAGATCACCAAGACGAACCTGCAGAAGCTGCGCCACCTGTTCTCAAAGAGCCGGAAGGGCGGCAGCCGCCGGCGATGAGGGCGGCCAACGCGTCCTTCGTCTGTGATACCGACCGGGGCGCGGGCCGCCGCCGCCCGGCCTCACCCACACCAAAGAAAGACGAGCGCCGCGCCGCGCCGCCGCCGGCCAGCCCCGGGGCTCCGCCCTGACCGGCCGGCAGGGGGCGGCGCGGCCGCTCCTCTGACGTACTTTCCCCGAGTGGTCAACTCATGCTGTGGTGCGCGGCGGTAGGGAGGTTGTTTTTTAATTTAATCATCAGAAGGTATTACTCTAGGACTGTGGAGGCAATATGTCGTCGGACAGCGCCAGCCGTGATACGCGGCGCTTCTCTCGGGTCCGCGCGTTGTTTGTTGTGCTGAGCCGTGGGCCGCGGACGCGGGGGAAGGACTCCAGCCGGCCGCGGCGGGTCGGGCGGCGGAGCTGCGAGCGACCGCCAACCATCTGTGATTATGTATGTGCTACTAGCTGTCATAGACAATATATGTTATACTCGTTGATCGTGCTGTGTTGTTAGCTGCCACACATCGTACACTGTCGGTCGACTTCCCGAACGATTATATAACCCTGTGATTCACATTTGCCCAAGGATTTTCACTGACTCCGCTGAGATCACGAACAATCTGTCACGGCCTCTCGGTCACGGTTCCAAACACCTCAGACATTGAAACAGGTCGGCTGCACCACTTCCACAATGTTATTACCACGGGCGCTCGCCACACGACACTGCGTACAAAACACGCACCACCCGACCTCCCACACCACGCCGAGTACCTACACCAACCGATCTGAAGCACGATGACATGGGTCAACCAATAAACAGCTCTGTCGCGCCGGCGCACGACAATAACAATGAATCACGACGGGCGCGGCGGCCGACCGCCGATGAGTGGGTCGGACGCCAGTAGCGCGCCACCGTGACTGACACCAAAAATGAAGCGTACGTTTCAGACATGGCGCAAGCACCTAAAATATACAAGCGGAGTAAAATGCAGCCTTTGTACAGGGGCCGCGCTGGGGCGGCCCGGCGAGTGGTAGCGCGCGCCTACGCAACTCAGCGAGGCGAGTTCCAAAGCGGGCTCCTGACGTCAGCTCGGTTAGTGGCAGAGTGACGTCATCGGCCCGTCGTCCCGGGTCTCTCGGCGGTACAGGCAGATCTAAAAGGGTGCACAGGACAATACCAAACAGCTCTGATCCCCTCCCTCCCCTCCCGCGGGCGCCGAGAGGCACCCCGATTGCATCCCGTCCGTGGCGGGCTATCACAGCTGCCGGCCGGCGCTCAGAAGAACGGGCTGCGGGTCACGCCCGGCGGCTGGAACGGCTGGCGCAGCGACGAGAGCGGGTAGCCGGGCGGATAGCCGCCGGCCGCCGCGCCCATCAGGCCCATCATAGCGGCGCCGGCCTGGTGCTGGCGCAGCAGCTCCTGCTGCCGGTAGTACTGCTGGTACGAGGCCAGCGGGCTGTCCGAGCTCAGCGGGTGGCCGCGCCCGCCGAACGGCGGCGTCAGCAGCGGCGCCGGCTGGCCGGCCGGCGAGCCGCCGCCGCGCGCCGGCCCGCCGCCCGCCGGGTTCTGGTGCGCCGGCTGCGGCGAGCGCGCCTGGCCCAGCAGGTACGGGTAGCCGGCGCCGCCGCCCAGCGCGTGCGACTGGAAGCCGGCGGCGCCGAGCCCCAGCGCGCCGTAGCCGCCGCCCGACATGAGGCCGCTCAGGTTCAGACCGCCGCTGGCCGACGAGACGGCCGCAGAGGAGACGGGCGCCAGCGAGGGCCGCGCCGCGCCGTCCTGCCGACCGGCCGCCGCCTGCTGCTGCGGCGGCGCCGACTGCTGCTGCTGCTGCTGCTGAGCCTGCTGAGCTTGCTGCTGCTGGAATGCTTTCATCGACTGCTGTTGCTGGTGGTACAGCTGCATGTGCGGACTGGCCATCTGTTTGTAGTAGGACACGGAGCTGTCTCCCCAGGGGATCTGGGCGGACGGCATGGACGAAGGAACAGAGTCCTGCACGTCAGACTGCTCACCAGACAGCCGCTGCTGCTGCTGCTGCTGCTGCTGTTGTTGTTGTTGTTGTTGCTGCTGCTGCTGCTGTTGTTGCTGCTGTTGCTGTTGTTGTTGTTGCTGCATCTGTTGCATTTGCTGGATCTGCTGTTGCCTCTGCTGCTGTTGACGTTGTTGCATTTGTTGTTGCATTTGCTGCTGTTGCATTTGTTGCATTTGCTGTTGCATTTGCTGCTGTTGCTGTTGTCGTTGTTGCTGCTGTTGCTGCTGTAGTTGTTGCTGTTGCTGCTGTTGTTGTTGCTGTTGCTCCTGTTGCATTCTTTCTTTTTCGCTCTGCTGCTCAGCCATTTTCATTTTTTGTTTCTGTTCGAGCAGTTTCACCTGCTGCTCCAGCTGCAGCTTCTGTTGCATTACCTTCTGCTGCTGCAGCGCCGCTTGCTGCTGCTGCTCGGCGGCCTGCTGCTGCTGCTGTTCAGCCGCCTGCTGCTGCTGCTGCTGCTGCGGCAGGCGGGTGACCAGCTGGGACAGGTGCGCCAGGTTGCCGGGCAGCTGGCCGGCCGCCGGCGCGGGGTACTGCGGCGGCGGAGGGCCCGGCGGCGGCGACTGACGCTGCGCCTGCTGCTGCGGCGGCGGCGGCGGAGCAGGCGGCGGCTCCTGCGGCACGCGCTTCTTCAGCGGATAGCCGGGCCGCTCGTCCTGCGCCGGAGTCTGGCCGGCCGGGGTGGCAGCCGGGGCCGGGGGAGCGGCGGGTACCTCAGCAGCGGGCCGGCCGGCCGGCGGCGGCGGCCCGCTCGGACTGCCCACGGCGGGTGCCGGCCGCTCCACAGACCCGCTGGGACTGGACAGGTCGGTGGCGGAGGCCGGGCTGGCCGTGGTCGCTCCCGGCCGGGACACCGCCGGCGCCGGACTGGACACGGAGGCCTGCGGGGCCGCCTGTCCGGCCCGCGGTCCGGACGGCGGAGTCTGACTCACTGAGGTGCCAGGCGGTGACCGCAGAGAGCCGCCGCCGGGGCTGGCGCCGGGCCGGGCCGCCGGGGAGGACAGCGGCTCCGTCTGCCGGGCCGCCGGGCCCGCCACCTGGGGGCTGGCCGGACCGCGCGGCGGGCTGCCGCGCGCCTCCGCCGGCGAGGACACGCTGGCCACCGAGCCGGGCCGCGCGCGCGGAGACTTGTCCGGACTGGCCGTCTTGGCGGCCACGTCCTGATAGAAGCCGGGCTTGGCGGCGCCCACCAGCCGAGCTGTGTCCACGGCAGGCGCGTGCTGCGGCGAGAAGGCCGGCGAGCGCTGCGCCGCCTCCGCCGGCGACACGATGCCGCCGGCCGGCGTCAGCGGCGACTTCTCGCTCTCCGAGCTGGTGACGTAGAAGGGCGAGCGGCCGCCGGCGGCCGGCTCCAGCCGCTGGCTCTCGCGCGCCTTCACCTGCAGCCGCACCTTCTCCAGTTCGTCGTCGTCGTACTCGTACGGATCAGCGTCCGGCTGTGGCGGCGCCGGCGGCGGCGAGGCGGCGCGTCGCCAGCGCGGCCGCGCCGGGGAGGCAGGCTTGGCTGCCGGCGCGGCCGGAGGTTTGGCGGGGGATTGAGCGGCGTTCGGCGCTGCTGCTGGCGGCGGCTGGGACGCCTGGGAGCTCGGCTGAGGGACCGCCGGCGCCGGAGGGGGCTGCGGGGCGTCCGCCGGGGCCCGCGTCACGGCCGGAGCGGGGGCAGGGGCAGACGCCGCAGGAGGAGCGGGGGCGGGGGAGGAGGTGGGGACCGGAGCCGCAGCGGAGGCGGGAGTGGCCGGCGGTGTGGGCGCCACCTTCCGTGGCTCCGACTCGGCGCGTTTCTTCTGCTCCGGCGGCGGCGGCCGCTTCACGCGCGCCACCGAGGGTGCCGCCGGCGGTTCCGGAGCCGCCTGAGAGCGGAACGCGTGGAACCAGGCGCTCAGGTTGGGCGTGGCCGACTTTTTGAGCACGGGCAGCTCGCTGCCCACCTCTGGCTCGACGATCAGCTTCGGCGGCTCGTCGTCGCGCCGCTCGGGCAGCACGGGTTCGGCCTTGAGCCGTTTGCCGACCATCTCCTCCCAGAGCTCCTCGCCGGTTCGCTCCGGCTCCTGGTACTCGCCGCGGCTGCCGAGCACCTTGCCCATGGTGAGGCCGGGCCGGCCGGCCAGCAGCGTGGTGCCGCTGCCGCGACTGTCCCGCACCCGCGAGATCAGCTGGCCCAGCTTGGCACTCTCCTCCTTGGAGATGCAGCGGCTGCTGAAGAGCGGCTTGGCGCGCGGGCCGCGCGAGTCGACGGTCGGTCGGGGCGCCGGCGCCGGCGACGGTCGGCTGAGCGCCGGATCGACGGCCGGCGGCTGCCGCCAGATGGCACTGTCGTCACTGTCCGACCCGGAGCCCGGCAGGGGGGACGGCGAGCGAGAGCGGGCCTCCGCCGGACCCTCGGCCGCGCCCGACGCCGGAGAGTCCTGCCGGCACAGGGAGCAGCCGTCAGACCAGTCCGGGCCAACAGCTGGACGACATTGAGCCGGTGAATGTATAACTAGACCGAAGCTACGGGGCTAGTGCTGCTTGAAGAGATAAAGCTCCGCACTGATGATGCTGAACAAACGACATACATAATACTAGCTAAGACACAGAAACGGAAAGGGCAATATGCATAGGCGTTTGCGTGCAACACTGCTACAGGATAAGTTGTTTTTCTGTTGCTCAGTAGATAGAGCGACAAATAAGATTTAGACATGTTAGTACAATAACAGAAAACTATTTTAGAAAGTAATTATGACGCCTGAGTTTAGCAGCATCGCTTGGAAGACAATTAATCGGCATGCCAAAAAAAAAAGATAGTCCCTACTGTAACTTTCAATCCTAGGATGATAACTTAACTCAAAATAGATCAAAACCATAAATCGTAATTCAAATAACATTCAATCTAGAGCGGTCAGAATTGCTTCATTCTGACAGATTCAGCCCCATCCGCAGCAGCCGCGGCTCACCTTGGCCGAGTCGGCCGCGCGCCGCTCACTCTCCCGCCTCTCCCGCTCTCGCCGTTTCCGTTTCTTCTTCTTGCTGCTCTTCTTCTCCCTGCTGTCCGTCCGCGACCTCTTTTCGCTCTTCCTCCTGAGCTCGCGGTCGGGCCGCTCGGCGCCGGAGCCGGACTCCTCGGCGGTTTTCTCCGACTCCCTGTCGGCGGCCTCGCGGGACGAGTTCCGCTCCTCCCTCTCGGCCGCCGCCAGCCGCCGGCGCCGCATCTTGGCCGCGAATATCCGGCCCTGGGCGATGGCCTTTTTCGGGGAGCCGCCGTCGCTCTCGTCAGAGGACGCTGACACGGCCGGGGCGGGGGCGGGGGCGGGGGCGGGGGCGGTGGGCGGCGGTGTGCGCGGCGGCGGCGAGGCCCTCAGCGGGCGTCGCGGCGGCCGGCGTACCGTCGGCTCCTCCTCCGACTCCTCTCTGAACGTGTACGCGTCGCCCTCGGAGGCCTGACTGGCGGGCCGCGGCGGCGGCGGCGGCGGCAGCTGCCGGGGCGGCTTCCTGGCCAGCTGCCGCCGCCGGCCGCGACCGCTCGGGATCGCCTTCACGGGGCCGATCACGGTCTCGGGGGCCCGCGCGGCGGACCGCGCCCCCGCCGGCGGAGGGGACTTGACCGGCGACGGCGGCGTCTTCAGCAGGTTATCGAACATCTTCTCCGTGTCCTCCTTGGAGGGCGGCTTCGACCTGGGCGAGGCCAGCAGCTCGTCGTCACTGTAGTCGATCTCGGCGGCCGCGGCGGACTTTTTGCGACCCCTGCCGGTCGCGGCGGCCTTGGCGCCCCGGCCGCGCCGCCGCCCGGTGGACCCTGCCGAGCCGGCGGCGGGGCGGGCGGCCGACCGGCGCGCCGAGCCGGGCGTCACCTGCGACACGTCGATCAGAATCTCCTCCTCGTCGTCGTCGCCCGTGTCAAGGAACTTGTGGCACGCCTTGTGGAACGCCGCCTCGATGTTCATCACCATCTCCGTGTACTCTGAAATGATGCATGCAAACCAGCGGCGTCAATGGTAGGCAGACAATTGGACAATTAGCGAGCAGAAAACGGTACAAAGTAATAAATCTTGACATGAATATTGCTGAATTGAAATAAAGAGATGAGCTTAATTTCGATTTCGACATTCATAATTTCGACGTTGAACATATCCCCAAGGTGGAGAGTGTCAGAACCTTTTCATTGACCTCCGACGGAAGCCCGTCCCGCCCTCCGCCGACATCCTCGGTCTCACCGTTCTCCAGGCCGTTGTAGAGTTTGCAGTTGTCGACAATCAGTTTGAAGTCGGCCTCGAACTGCTGCCTGGTCTGGTACACACCGGCATCCAGCCTGCTCTCCAGCTTGTTTAGGTCCATCGGCCGGCGGATGACGGCGTAGTAATTAGGCGCGTACTCCTCCTCGACCGGGTCCTGGAACGGCCAGGCCTCCTCGTGCGCTTTGACCGCCTCCAGCACCTTGTACATGCCCACGCGCAGCTCCTCGTCTGTCTGTAACACTCTGCGGACGAAATGGAGGGCGGAGGGTGAGCAGGCAGCGCAGGGTACTAGAGCGTGGGGTTTGAGCGCAGACATAAACATCGTGCTGACGAACTTAACAGGACAGCACTAGAACTTCACTGCATGCCATATGTATATTTAATCATAGGTAGTCCTGCCAACATTCCTTGTTAGTTAACTAGCCCAATCAAAGCACTGCAGTAACAATGCCCGCAGATCCTTGCTTACCAAACCGCACCCAAATGGAAGGAAGAAATCTACCCCATTCTTTACTCACATTGCCGAGCTGCGTATCTTGTTGGCCGATCCGTTGAGCGGCGGTGCCTTCCGATCGGGCTCGTCGTCAGCGGCGCTGGCGCGCCGGCCGGCCGGTCGCGGGGTCCCGGCCGCCGCCTTCTTCCGGCCTCCCGACGGCGTGTACTCGTCCTCGTCAGAGAGGTGAGCCGACTTCCTGGGCCGGCCGGGCCGCCGCGGCGCGCTGCCGCCGCCGGCAGCCGGCGAGGCCGAGCGCCGCGGAGACGAGACGCTGCCCACCGGGGACGAGCGGCCGCCGGCAGACGCCGGGGACGCCTTCCGGGACGCCTTGGTGGCGGGAGTCTTTTGTGATGATTTTGATGATGATGGCGTCTTTTCAGATGATTTTGTGGAAGATGAGGGTTTGTCTAATGATCTAGCAGATGAAGGAGACTTTTGTGACGACTTTGAGGATGAAGAGTCTGAGTTCTTGAGCGCTGCCTTGGATGGGACGGGCGTCTTTTTGGACGCCTTTGTAGCCTTAGCAGTGGCGACTGGGGCAGGTGTCGCCGGCGAGGCCTTCCTCGCAGCCTTTTTAGCGGAGCTGGGCGGCGGCTCGGCAGCGGCGGGCGAGGGCGAGTGGTCGGGAGTCGGGGAGTCGGCCGCGCCGCCCCGCGACCCGCGCGGCCGCCCCCGTCGACCGGTGCCACCCTGCTCCTTCTTCTCCTGGGCCGCTATCAGTGCTATCGCCTGACGAATGAACCTGTGGGCAGTGAAAGACGATCAGGTCACTGGAGACGTTCACAACCATCCAACACCAAAAACGAATGATGGCAAACTTACCGACACCATAACTAAAGTAACGTATCTGAAAGTAATCATGCTTCACTCGAAACAAAAACTGAGAGCCCAAAATCAACATAATACAACACGAACAAAGTAAAATTAAAAACTACAAGTAAACTACTATCGATCATTCATTTTAGGAGTCGCCCCACTCACTCATCCTCGTCAGCGTCTGCGGCGGTGCGGCCCTTGGCGCGCCGCGGCCGTTTGGGCGCCGGCTCCTCCCTCTGCTCCGGCTCCTCCCGTCCTCGCTTCCCGGCCTTATGGGAGCCGGTGGCCGCCGGGTCCGAGCGCCGCGGACTCCTCGACTTCTTGGCGCCGGACGCCGCGGGCTCGACGGCGGCGGGAGATTCCTCCATCGCGGCACCATCAGCGTCAGCGGTCTCCGCGGCGGCTGACGAGGACGCCGGGCTCTGATGCGCCGCCTTCTTGGGCGGCCGACCCCGCGATTTGGCGGCTGGCGCGGCAGGGGAGACGGAGGGCGACTGCGAGGGCTTCCTGGCCGGCCGGCCGCGCGGTTTGCCCGTGGACGCTGCGGGGGAGACTGATGGCGACTGAGACGGCTTCCTGCCTGGCCGGCCGCGCGGTTTGCCGGCGGCAGGAGGCGAGGTGGAAGGCGAAGGCGACGCCTTCCTGGGCGGCCGTCCCCGGGCCCTGCCGGCCGCCGCGGGCGGAGAGCGGGTGGCGGCGCCGCCGGCCGGCTCCTCCCTCCTGGCCGAGCCCGGGGACGGCGACGTCTGGCCGGCGGCCCGGCCGCGGCCCCGGCCGGCCGGCGAGGAGGGCGGCGCCGGCGACTCTCCGCGGCCCGAGTGGCGCCGCGTCCGGCGCGCGTCGGCCGCCGGCGCGGAGCCGTCCGCCGCCTTCTCGGCCGCCGCCGCCACCGACTGGGAGACGGTGCTCTCGCGCTTCACCGGAGGCCGCAGCGGGCGCCGGCGGGGACCCATGGCTGCCAGTCAGAGCACTGAAACACAGCGTTCGCTGGGCATTACCGACAGTGAACTATTGCAGCTCTGGTCCCACCAATCCATGATCCTTTCCCAATTTCATCATTTACTTAGCAAACAAAGTTCAACTGAATTGCTATCATAAAAACAATTAACACTGTATAAATCATCAATTGCATATCAAGTTAAGTGTGGTGAGATATGCCACAAAACAATTCAAATAAAAATTAATTCAACAACACTCATAGTTGCTCATGCATAAGGTCACATTGCAATAAAGCTGCAATAAATGCAATTACCTATTATTAATTCTGCCATGTTTGACATGGCAGAGGTGCTGTGCATTCATTCACTAAAGCTCAGTTGGGGGAGGTTTGGTCAATGGTTGTCATTTTTAGCACATGCCATTTTTGGCAACCATGTGCTAAAAATGACAACGCTATCAGCTATTTTTAGCAACGATGAAGCCGATTTCACTCCTCAGCGAGGAAATCACGATTTTGGAAATACAAGCACTGATTTTGGAAAAGAAGTGCTGCCACCTGGTGCAAGAAGAAGAAACCAGCTTTAATATGGCCGTTGTTTGTATGGTAGTCCAACGTTGAAGTATACCCTTTTTTGTGGCCCGAAGTTGGAACTTTAAATTGAAGCATCCGAAAATGATCGATATTGATCGAAATCATGATGTTGATGAAAAAAATAATATGTTAAGTTGAGAGAGGAGGCCATTTTATCCAGATGCGGTGGTTTACTTCTTGAAATTATTTTTGCTTACGACGACTGCCATGTAATGAGGGATAATTAGCAGCCGTCATTAGCAAAAATAATTTCAAGAAGTAAACTACTGCATCTGGATAAAATGGCCTCCTCTCTCAACTTAAAATATTATTTTTTTCATCAACATCATGTTTTCGATCAATATCGATCATTTTCGGATGCTTCAATTTTAAGTTCCAACTTCAGGCCACAAAACAAACTACCATACAAATAACAGGCATATTAAAGGTGGATTCTTCGTCTTGCACCAGGTGGCAGCACTTCTTTTCCAAAATCAGTGTTTATCTTTCCAAAATCTTCATTTCCTCGCTGAGGAGTGAAATCGGCCTCATCGTTGTCAAAAATAGCAGAATCGTTGTCATTTTTAGCACGTGTGACAAAAATAGCACGTGCTAAAAATGACAACGATTGACCAAACCTCCCCCGACTGAGCTAGCAGCCTAGAGCCAGAAACAGTTCAGCCTAATAGACCAAACATTCATATGACACAACACCACATGTCCTGAGCTGATAGCCATCAAACTGCCTATATTAGTTGCAGTGCAGAAATATCAAGTTTCCCATAACAATGTTCACATTATCTTTACCAAACACAAACACATTAGCTACTGACATAATAGCCCTATTTATCTACATTATAAATCTAAGTAAAGGAAAATTGTATTTACTGAATAAGAATTGAGATGCCAAATATAAAGCCAGCAAGATATCAACATAGCCATCAATTCCACAAAAAGATGAGATTTGGAAATTTCAAGTTCTTCTCAATTCTTCCTTATAGGAAAGACATGACTTTGTGCATAAAAATAGAAAACACAGCTTTGTGCATAACAATAGAAGACACCAGGTAAGAAGACACAACTTTGTGCATAACAATAAACAGTTAATGTTGTTCAACATGTATTTGGAGTACTAATACTATCCAGCTATACCAGGGAAACAATTCATTCTGAGTTACCTATTCAGTTCCACTTCCTGATGCATAAAATGACTGATATCTATGTTGGCATGGTCTAAAAGCTGTTACCACAAAGTTTGCTGATGTTTAAAATGAGATTCCTGATATGGTTCCAAAGCCAATTGAAACTTACTCAAGAGATATGGTAAACAAATTAATGAAATATGCAGCTTTCTTGTAAATTTGTTCTCTTGAATCAATCAATTTTACCAACAAATATTATCTGATAACCAAGCTGTCCCAAAACTGATAAAAATAATAGATAACCATACCAATAGTTATTCTGCACTGGTAAAGCTGTTAAACGTGATATACGTGAGCTAGGCCTGCCCCGCTTCAAGTCGGAGCTGCGCCGGTACCTGCTGAGCGCTCAGGTCACATAGTGCATCGTGTAGTGAACGGAGCATGGTTTGTCACCGAATGTGGTATGTGTGCTACTCCCTGTGTAACCTTGTGTACTGCTGACGTACTACCCGGAATAGCCACGGTGTCCGTGGATGGGTAGCGAACTGTGAAATAAATAAATAATAAATAAATAAATAAACTGAAAGGGACATTAGGTACCTACTGATCTACATATCAATCCATCCGCATTGACATACAAATAATACAATAGGTGCCAACCTATCATACATCGTAACCTCAAATCAAGTGAAAGTGGCACATTTCTTCTACAAGATGCTTAGTTGGGGAACATATATAGAAAATCAAGTCAGCTGGTTTAAAGCCAAGCAAGCTTATAATGCATGCTACACCATTAATTAAGATTGGAATGCTGTCTTGGGGAGTGGGGACAGTGGGCTGTGATGCATGATCGGATTGCAGCAAGGATTAAGATACCCATTGCCCCTGAATGATAGTTTAATGAAAAAGTTCAAAAAATACTCAAATTAATTTTCAGAATCATAAAAAAAAGAATACGTTGTTTCGTATTTCGTAGCTTGCTACACGTTGTATCTGTCATGATAAACCATCAGGACAGATCTGTCAATTCACATCAAGAGCGAAGTGAAATCAATAATTTATGCAACCAAAAAGACATACCTTCTACAGCATCATCCGACCCTATGAAATAATGCTTCTTCTCACACTTAAAACGAAAGAAACTGTGAGGAATGGTAAAATTGACGATAAAAACAATCAGCGAACCCCCTATCTCTCCCCCGCCCAGCGCCCAACTCGCACGCCAACGCGCGCAGTCCACCATCTGATTGCGATTCCAGCACCATCTGTCGGAGCCTCATCCGGGACATTTTACTGAGCAAGCAAGATTCTTATCAAAATCGGGTGCATTTCATTTGAGATGGACTGAAACTGATAGGAAACTTATTTTCTTTTTGTAAATGAGATTAAAAATTTACTTTGTTGGTGTAGTCATTTGCGTATTTCAGAGGAAATAATAAAGAAATGAGTGGGATCGAAAAGATATCAATATCAACGTTTCCCTATAAATTTGATTCCGGCTTGATATCACTTATAAAAATAGATTTAAAGTCAACTGAAAATTAAAATTCCTAGTTTTGTGGTGATAAAATAACGACAAAAAATGATGAAAACGAAGCTGTTAAAAATTGGTAGCGGTTTCCTTTTTCATAATGGCGCGATTATTACAAGAGTGGCGCAAATAAAATAAAAACAAAAAGCACCCATTGCGTTTTTGCAATTCACATGTTTCTCTGTGTTCCTCGTGGTCTCTGTGGTCGGACGTGGTATAGACCACGTATAGACGAGGCGTGACAAAGGAAATATAGCGTGGTAGGTACCTACTGTCACTGTTTTCACCTTATTTTTTTGCATCCTTTGTCGCGGAAATTATCTTGATCTGTTGGCACTTATACTTACTTACTTATACTTATAAATCGCGGAATTTAGAAAGGCCACTTGGCCTCTGGGATCCGGTCTTGTCGAGCTGTTTGTCTGTATTGTGTGGTGTTTCAGTCGTATGGGTGAGTCATGTGCATGAAGCGTGCCCAGTGACTGTCGAGCCTGGCCTTGAATGAGTCGACTGAAGGCGCATCAACAACAGTCGATGGCAGCGAATTCCAGTCGTTCACGACTCTCACGCTGAACGCGTTTCGTCTGACTCTGGAGTTGGTCCTGGACTTGGAAAGCTTCCATGTGTGTCCACGGGTCCGGGACGTCGCTGCTCGCGTAAAGAACTTGGACGCGTCAACGTCAACTCCCCCGTGGAGCACTTGGTAGACCGTTATCATATCGCCGCGGCGACGACGGTAGTAGAGAGACGGCAGGTTAAGTGTCTGGAGCCTCGCCTCGTAGGGGAGTTCGCGGATGCTGGCGACGAGCTTTGTGGCTCTCCTTTGGACCCTTTCAATCCGCTTCTGGTCCGCTCTGTTGAATGGCCCCCAGACCGCGTTGGCATACTCCAGATGGGGGCGGACCATTGTCCGGAAGAGCAGTGGCAACGTGGTTTCGTCGATGACGCAGAAGGATCGCCGAATGACTGCTAGGATGTGAGAAGCCTTGGAGATGGCGGCCGCCGCTTGCTCTCGGAATTTCAGCTGGTGGTCCATCTGCACCCCCAGATCCTTCTCCACCAAAACTTGTACGAGCTCGGTGCCTCCCATGTGATACCCCTGCCTGTCGTCTTGGCGACCCAAGTGCAGGGAAACGCATTTAGCGCGATTGAAGGGGAGTTGCCAACGATCCGACCACTCAATGA